TACACATTCGTTTTTCATAGCTAATTACAAATAATCTGCAACAAAACATACTAAAATTCAAGATCGTCTAGTTGGCAGGCAACCATCTAAGCCACTGTATCACTGCGGCCCAGTTAATGCATGTACTTTTGTTCGAAGCTTGGCCATATCAAGCTCCATGGCGGAGTGGACAGAATAATAGCAGAAGGCATGGTATCCAGAAGGAAGGGCAGGAGCCGACCAACATGAAGATGGGCGCAGGATATGAGTAACTCCTACGAAAATTAGCCAGAAACCGAGTTTAATTCACCCAGACATTGTGTTATAAGAGCGACATTATGCAAAGGACCTGCTTCTTGGTGATATATTTATATACATATGTGTGTGTGTGTGTGTGCGTGTTTGTGTATACGTACACACATATATAGATCATCATCATCAGGTGCCTTGCCGACTGAAGTGGGCTATATGTATATATGTGTGCGTGTGTGAGTGTGTAAGTATGTATGTGTATATATATATATTCATAAATTGATTATATCAATCATTGTAATCTTGTGTCATTATATGTCACATAAGGCTGGTAGTCTATTCTTTCATTAAGTTCTATCCTGTAAAATCACACACACACTATAAATATATATATATATAAAACGGATGACTTTAAAATTAACCACCGCTCTCCGGTCAATCAGATTTTAATTAGAAACAAAAAATAGATCAATGTCATTTTTTTTAGAAGGCAGGCCGGCGTTATGTTGACCACATCACACAACGAGTGCCACAACTGGTCTATAAATGTAATGAGACTATCGTCATGTGGCTGATACCACAGTCACTTAACTTACTTAATTGCCTTTACTCACTTAAAAAAAAAATTGTCATTAGAAAACCATTCAAATCAACTGTTAGGAAAGAAGCTGTACCTTCGGTCATCAGAAAATGTGGCCAAGCAAATTCACGCATACCATTGCTTGGAGAGACAACAAGTGATGTCAGCGAGCAAGTACCTAAGCTTCTCATTCAACCATGGAATCACTGACGGGACTACTGTGTCAGTGTGTACTCATTGTCCATTTAGAGCTTTATTCTGAAGATCCGTGCAAGAGAAAGTCACTGCCACAGAATGATACTGTTGGCTTGATGCGTTCGATTTCCCCACACATTCCTACACAGCTTTCCCAGTTGTTCATTAACAGTCAAATTCCAAAGTTCTTCAGGCAATATGCGTTCTCTCATAAAGCAACTGGGTGCGTTTCTAGAGACCTGCGCTAACTTATTATTATGACTAACTCATGCACATTTCTTGTATCTAACTGTAAAACTGCTGTTTTATTCTTCCCTGCTGCTAAAACATCTTTTACGTTTCGGGTAAAAACTGTTTATCTGTACACGGGTTTTCAATGTTATCAGGTCGCGTGTGAATATGTTTGTACATTTAAGTGTGTATTTGTGTGTTTGTGTATGCGTGTGTGCGCCCTTGTTTGTGGGTGTTTTCAGTAGTAATTGCATTTTCAGTAAAAATATACATTGCACTTGTGACATGATTTTCCTTTATCATTCAAATCGCTACACTTGGAAAGCTTTAATCTAGTTATTACAAACCGCTATTTATTATTTTTGATGATCTTTTCAGGCTTCAAATGTGCAGTTCCGAACCAAAGAAAGACTTCGTAACCATACACAGACAAATCGGGAAACTGGCTTATTATATGACTCGAAGAAATCAGCCAATTATCTTTAGGGGCGACGCCAATGAAGGTAACAACTGTTTTAATGTAATATTTGAATAATTAAAACTCAGTGGCTCAGTTTGTATGTTGAATTAGGAATAGACGTAATATCACTTGGGACATTTCCATGAGAGCATCCTGCCATCTTCAGCACAAAGCTGAAGGTCTGATGGTACCACAGAAAGTCGGATTGTATATTTCCTTTGAGTGTTGAGCGTCAGCCATATCACATATTCACGCCTTGTGTCTTGTGTGTGGTCCTGTTTGTAACGTGGTCTTATGCGTCAACATGTGCCAATGAATACCCTACAAATTATTTATCACCTGAGGTTCTGATTTTTTGCCAGCTTTTCACGAAGCCGTTGGTGGCGTCATCGCACTGTCAGCTCAGACTCCAAAACACCTGAAGAAATTGAACCTTATCGAGAGAGAACCCAGAGACCAAGGTAATACACTTAAATAGCAAATATTTCACCAATTCCTGTGCTAACAGACAAAGTTAATAGACATAAACAGCAGATATTTTACTAATTCCTGGGCTTTCAGACACAGGTAAAAAACATAAATTAGCAGATATTTCACAAATTCCTGCACTTACAGACAAAAGTAATAAACATAAATAGCAAATACTTTACGAATTTATGTGCTAACAGGCACAGGTAATATAATGAAAAGTGGATATTTCACCAATTCCTGCACTAACAGACGAAGGAAATACACATAAAAAAATAATAGCAAATTTTTCATAAATTTATGTACTCACAGATGAAGATTATAAACATAAATTTTAGTATTTCAAGAATTCCTGTATCAACAGACGAAGGTAATAAAAAAAGTAAAGTTCGTAGCAATGTTAACGAATGCATGTATCAACAGACGATGGTAATACACAGAAAAAGTATTAATTTCATTAATTTGTGTAGTAAACAGTTGTAACTGTGACATTAGTACTCCTGGTGGTGTCTATGGTAGCGCAGTGACTAAACGCCTGATGGTAAGCTGAAGATCTTTGGCTCAAACTCGCAACATGAAGTTTTAACTGAATTAAGAGATCCCAGCGTTTGTTACAATGGCATGAAAATGTTTCAGCACACAAACTGAGACACGCTTTTGAAATTTCAGAATGGTGAGAGGCATTTTTGTTTATGCTTTTTTGATTACACTAAAGTATTTGATAAAGTTAAACATGAAGGAATTTTTAGAATTTTGTAAACTTTAAAACATTGAAGGTAAAGATCTGCAAAAAAATGAGAAACATACACTGGCAACAAGAAGCAGCCATTAGGATTGACAACCAAGTTGGAACCTTTCTAAACATTAAACAATGTGTTAGACAGAAATGTGTACTATAACCCGATTTATTCAATTTGTACAGTAAAATAATAATTAGATCCGTACATGGTATGCCAGGAATAGTGGTTGGTGGGGTACACTGTTAACAATCTGCGATATGCTGACGATATAGTTTTGATCGCTGAAAGTAAAACACAATTGCAAGAAATGATGGACATAATTGTAGCAGAAAGTGACAACAAGGTCTTAGTTGGGAGAGCAAATAAAAAGAAGTAATTGTAATTACAAAGAAAACTCACCCTCCAAAATGCGACATCAAAGTAAATGGGATAAACCTCAAACAGTTTGCTATGTTTATGTTCTTGGGTACTCTGATAACATTAAATGGAAGCTGTATTTATGAAGTTAAATGTCGAATAGCTCAAGCAAAGCAATCTTTCTTTGTCAGTTGAGATGAGAAAGAGAATTCTTGAAAACTAACTTAAATGCTATATTGGTATACGGGTGTGAATCATGGGCAGTTAGTAAAGTAGTGAAAACTTATTTAAAAGCTGCGGAGATGAGGCTTTATAGACGAATGATGAAAATACACTGGATACATAAAAGGGTAATAAAGACGTTTAAATAAAATGGCTCGTGGAGAGAACTTATTGCACACATCAGAAAGAGTCAATCAACATTCTTTGGTAATGTGATGAGAAGGAGAAAACTGGAGTACATCGTGACGGTAGGAAAGTTAGAGGGGAGGAGAGGCAGAGGGAGACCGAGAGAACAGATGCTGGGCAGTTTGATGTCATGGCAAGAAAGATAATTTGATATGTGTCAGAGTGCATTGAAAATACATGAGACAGAAATAATGAAATCAATAACAGTTTGTTTTGATGTTCTCTTTTTTTTTGGGGGGTGGGGGGGGGGGGTGGGGGGGGGGAGATGTCGTATGTTCCCGTTCGATTGTTTTCCTATAACGTGGCCAAAAATGACCAATGCCTCATAGTACGCCAGTCACATACAAGCTTGCGTCCTTATATATTCGAGTCATTAGGAGAGTTACCATCTTTCTGTAGCCTATGAATAGTTTAATAATTCAGAAAACATGTTAACACCTCACTGCGATCAAACAATCATGTGCTGCTTCAACTGATGATTGTATTAGATCCCAAACAATTCTAGCTATCATTTTGGATGTATCCTCTCTGAGAATGATTGCCATGCATAACTTGATGGTAAGACTCAAACTCGTCTTCTCTCCGTTTGGGTCTCAGGGACTCATTGTGCAATGGGAAAACAAGAATAGACTGACTAACACTTGACCAGTAGATGGAAGGCACAATGTGACCAATTAACGGTTTCTGTCTAAATCGAAATGCATCTGCCTGAAAGGCTACAAACCAATTGTCTGCACGGAATAAGCCATAGCTGTATAACGGATGTGCACGGCGAAGTCAAATGTAGGGGGAAATCCAGCCTAACTACCAGGTCTTTGCGCAATGTAGCACTATGTTTGTATTTACTGAACATTTGTCTTTTCCAAAAGTAATCTAGAGCTGAATGGAAGACTATAAGATAGAACAAGATGGCGTTGCAGAGTTCATACGGGGTTATTCAAACTGATGGATACACATTTTTTTCATGTATATTTGTTTGAAAAAACTTTACATTGTAATAACTTACATAAATACAAGAGAGAGACAGAGAAAGAGACAGAGACAGAGAGAGAGAGAGAGAGAGAGTGAGAGAGAGAGTACGCTCTAAAGTTTACAAACTTTCAATATGGCCGACGATTGCAGCTAGGCAAACATCTAATCGGTTATCTGAACTAACCACACCCACGAAAAAGCTTCGCTTGCGTAAGAAGAAGAAGAAATTCGCGAAGTAATTTTGAGAATAATAATTTACCTGATTAAAACAAACAGAAAAGATACAAAACTAACTTTTTACCTCATTCTCCCCCAGAGACGGATATCAACTATTTGATGAACATAGCTTTGTCAGAAGTGGCCCATCTTCCTTTTTTCGTTTGTCGTAGACACCTGGCGATGGTCAGTGCTCAATGGGGCTACAGGAGAAAATAATTATAACAAATACTGGTGGCAACTGCGGTAAGCACTGGTGGGGCGGTTTTAATAGCTCCTCGTTTAGGCGTTATAATCTAAAGTTTATTGTTGCGTGCGTTTGTGTGTGTGTGTGTGTGTGTGTATGTGTGTGTGTGTGTGTCTGTGTGTCTGTGTTTATGTATACACACACAATGCTCGTCAAAGAAAGGACGGGAATAAATAGTGCATTGTCAAATCATCGAACAGACAGCGAAATTGAGAATAAAGGGAATGAGAAAATCATGTCATCTATGATAAACACTAAAAAGAACGATGTTAAGAGAGGCCAAAGGTATCGGACTAAGTGCTGTTCATGACATCCAGAGGCTAACACATCATAGAATAGAATGAAGGACAAGAAAAAAGAAACACATCTGACGTACACATCAGGGCGACCATGTGACAGAATACCGACCGCAGGATTCGTTGGCTGGTGCCTGATATTACTAGACAATGTTTTGTCCAGGAGGTTTACTGTTGCCGCCTGATCGGTGTGATGCTCAAACCTGCGTCAGCAAAAGAAAACACAAAACGCAAAACTGTCTGCGCCAATTTGCCCGCAGCTGACGTTGAATCTCGCACATTAAAAAAAAAAATTGTTGCATACGATGCAGAGGAGCGCGCCCTGGCTTGGCTACCTATCTCCCGTTAACTCTGTCATGCCCAATGGGCTTAAAGCAGCTACTGACACAAGAAAAAGGAAGTATAACTACTTTCATAATCCTTAAACCGCATGCAAAACTGCAGTCAGTACCATGAGAAACGACTCATATTTTAAGTCACAACTTAAAATATGAGTCGTTTCTGGTCAAGAAAAGGATTTCAGCAAAACATCTTTGTCGTCTTGGCGATTACCGGCTGTAAACTTGTGCGGAAAGTACTGAAAGATCGTCCACATCTAGACTTTGGTCCTGTTCCAGGCCTTGAGTTTTTCGCGCACAATGTTTTACAGATTTGATTTTGTGTTTGCTCCCTGAGGGTTTCTCTCCTCTCGGGCTGATTTACTCTGACCTACAAGAAAAAGACCCAGTTAATTACATTTTAAGACATGCTTGTTATGGGGATCAGCGTCTGTGGCTTAGCTGTTGCGAACACGCCTCGTAATTGCGGGTTCGATGCCAGCTGCAGAAGATTTTCTTGCGCTGATCCCCGACAGTGGTAGAAAGAGCTGACCGTTCAGACCAATGGCAAACTACTGAACGTAAATTTCGCCTAGTAAAACCACAACATACAATAAATGCTGGGGTTGGTTCTGCAAAGTCCTATAAAGGTCTAACTCTTTTTTTAATGTTGTTGTTTGTTGTTATGGAGCAGTTTGACTATTCTGCTTCCTCCACCTATCCCCACTTCCTCTAACCCACATCCACCCCCCCCCCCCCCCCATCCACAAAAAGTTGGGTCCCACAAACCACACAGGAAAGTAACACATAATTTTAGCCTTACCTAAAATGATTGTATGGTAACATTTACTTCTGTGTGTGAATGTTGACCCCATCTTCAGGTGTGAAGTACAAGGAGTCTCTCCACCTATCGGAAGGACAGAAGACGATTTTGACCCTGGTTCCACGTATGATATAGCAGCAGATCTCCAGTCCATGAGGTATGGATGCCATCGTTTTTTTTTTTTTTTTTAACTAGTGACTTAATGTCAATGTCTACAAAAGAAAATCTTGATATAAATATTCTATAGTAATCTTTTTTTTTAATCTACAGTCACGTTCATGTTACTTAACTGGCAGTAGTTTTTTTTTTTTACTACTACTGGCACCACCACCACAGCAACAACTAAAATAATGAAGCTACTATCTGTTGTCTGTGTCGGTATAGACGGGGGACATAAGCCAGAGGATTTAGCCCCACATGGCTAGCGCCGTCGCCACTGACAGTTCAGTTTAGGATTTTTAGTTGTGCTACTGACAGAAAAACTCCATCAGCTTATTAGTAGTCGAACCCGGGTCTCCCGCATGATATACCGACGTTGTAACCACCGGGCCGATCACATTAACTATTGCTATTCTGTTACTGCTACCACTGCTGCTACTATAATCAGATTAATCTTGAGGGCAACAGTGACTTTAAGCTGTTTCTGTCCTCACTCCCTCCCTCCCGTCCCACCCCTTCCCGCCCCAAATTCACCGACTACTCACCTCTCTCCCTCTCCGGAGGTATTGTAATGAGAAGTAAATGCAATTGTAAAATATTTACCACATCACCCATCGAGTACCAGTGCTACCACTACCACCACTACCACCATCACGACAACAACAAAGAAACAAAATGTCCCTACTGCCAGTTTTACCACCTGTCTAGGTCGGTATAGACAGGGGATAGTGAGCCAGAGGATGTAGAGCCGCATTTTAGTGCTGTCATCACTGTCTGCTCAAGTTAGGTTGTTCAATTGTGCCCCCAGCAGAAAAACTATCATCTTACCAGGGGTCGAACTGGGGTCACCCGCATGACAGCCCGACGTTGTAACCGTCAACCACACAACTAGTAATGTTCTGTTTCTACTACCACTGCTGCTACTATGAGAAGATTAATCGTGGCCGTTACTTAGATTTTAAGCTCTCTCAGTTAACACTTTCTGTCATTATTCCCCCGCCCCCCCCCCCCCCCCACATCCCCTTTTTCTAATCCACCGACTACTCCTCTCTAACTCACAGAAGGAATGCCTTATCTTTACATTTTCATAATATAATCTTTTAAACAGCTCTTAGTTTCCATAACGATAGCTTCATGCAGATTTATGAGATCAACAGTGAAAGTTTGCCTATTAAAAAAAAAAAAAAAAACGCGCGCCGGCTACGCAGAGCAACAAAAAAATCGGATCGTCAGAAAACAAAACCAAGATGCCTATGTGATCGTCTCTCGAGCTATTTACTTCGTGCTTTGGGCGATTCTCTTTTACAAAAAAAAAAAGCACTCAGCTTTTCGAATGCAACGTTAAGTCAAAGTTTGACAGCAATAAGCTAAGAACTTTCGGAGATTACCTATCACTAACAAACAAACATATACAGTTTTATTTATGTATATAAATAGTAAAGTCAGTCCTTAAGCAGACACTGCCTCAGAGAGCTGACTTGACTTTCCATATTCACAAAAAGACTTTGAGAATAGTTGGGTAATTCTTTCGCTTGTCATCCATCTTTTGCTGACAATTCCCAGATGCATTATTATTGCCTAATGTTTAGAAGGGGGTCCATTTACTACCATCACCAACCCCTGCCACATGTCTTAGTGGCAACGCCCCTAGTTCAAACATTACACGGCCATAGCAATGTACACATACACACCGCTGGTCAAGTTATACAACGTATCTTACTATTGTGTGTTATATTTCAGGTGGAACAACATTTAGAGGTATTCTTCTACGTGGTGACCGCCCTTTTAAGGAAAAAATAGTAAAATTCTAATGATAGTAAATCAACATTTTGAAATGGTCAACTTCTGAGGTTCTACAGTGACTTCTTTGTTTCTCTCCTCTGGACATTGGGCTAGTATTAACAATGACAATGAAATAACGACTATCAGTAAATAAAACAGTAGCTGATTTTTAATCTGATCTAATCTGGATGTCATCAAAGAAATAAACCATACAACGCAAATTTATCTCAACACTGTACTACCTGGGCGACATTGCAGGATACACTACACAATATAACCTTTGAAACTACAGTAACCATGACAGGATACGAATTCGTTCAAAACATGCAAGTGTATAAGGTGCCACCATATGGTGAATAAGTCTCCAACGTACAGCAATGCAGTCCGATGGTTTTAAGTTCGAATCCACATCCGAGCGATGTTTGTTTTATTTTTCAAAAATTGACATTTGATCCGAAGTCGACCTGGCCTAAAATGGAAATCAGGTAATGTCCTGCAAAAAAAGAGTGGCTGGCGTGATGTTGGCCATACAACCTACGGAGCACGGATTGTTCTATAGATGCGAGTTTTGCATTATATGTATGATGCCAAAAATATCATAAAAATGGTAGTTTAAATTTTTAAATATGTAATGCAATGCTGATTTGTTCTTGCAGAACTTTCCTGGGCACTATTCTCCAGTTTCAGTTCTACAAGGCAGCCTGTCAGGCAGCCAACCACCAAGGGCCCTTACACAGATGTGACATTTATAGAAATGCTGAGGCTGGCAAAAAACTGAAGTATGACACTCCTCATAATTATTCAGATCAATGTTGTTAGTTTGTCATGTCATGTGACACTCCTCATAATTATTCAGATCAGTGTTGTTAGTCATAATTTATCACCATCGCCATCTTATTGTGAAATCATACGTCACACAGTCTAGTCAATTTTCAGTTTTATCCAGTGCAATCGTTTTAATATCATTGATAAGATCTGGTCCAGTACCTGAGGTCTCCCTCAGCAAGGCTCGTCAAAATATTTCTCTTGGACCTTATCGTTTCAATAATGCAGTAGTTTCCCATTTCAGTATCTGTTGTGTGATTCTCTGTTGGCTTCTCCTCGGGGAGTGCCACATATATTGCCACCATGTACAAGTGGTTGTCTAGACATTAATTTTGTTCGCCAAAATTTAATGTAATGTTTAATTTCCGTAGGCATATTTGTTTTCAACTGGACTGAAATCTCTTTCTTTGTCTGTAGGGGTACTACAACTTCCACCTGTTTATATTAAAACTAGATAACACTACAATCAAATTACAGAAACGTAACATGGATTAAAAACTATATAATTTTTGATTTGTATTGTATGATTTTTATGCTTGAACACATTTTTAGTATGCCCAACTCTTACCTATAACTTACTTAATAAAATAACAAACGATAAAAGATATGACCCATACAGAAGGCCATACAGTTAAAAAAAGACAACAGATACAAGATTTGACTGTCTGATAGGAATATTCAGCAACCAGCTACTACAGACAGCCACAATGAAAAAAAAAAGTCGACTTACAAGATATGCAATCATGTAGACATTTAGGGAATAATGTAGACATTTAAATGAGCAAATATCAAAAGAGAATATTTCAAAACAGAATAATAACAATACTATGCTGTCCTTGGAAGTCAATAGAAATGAACATTATTTCTATTTACTTTAAAATTGAATCCAGTTAACTTAACATTTTGCAAAACAGTTAAGACTCAGTTCAACTGAGACACATCGAAACGCAAATATGAAGCTTTGTAAAAATACACAGAAAAAGCTCCTGCCGAACGGGACAAAAAGACGTGTCTCCCGCTGGTAGTTTGACTCTTTGTGTGTGTGGTGTGTGTGTGTGTGTGATGTGTGTGTGTGTGTGTGTGTGTGTGTGTAATAATTTGTTCACAAACATTCAGTTAAATTTTAACATGTGTTTTCCTTGCCCATCGCCGAGCATTGTAGTCATGTGGGGATTCAAGAAACCTATCATTACAGCATCCCAGACGGATTCATAAGTGTTCTAATTACCTCAACTGTGGCTCTGCATGTTCAGAATGACTCATGTCGGTTGATTATTTAAAGGTCTAGTTTCCTTTGTGAAATATTTGTTTCGCTACCTAATTTGCAACTATAAATCACGTATATGTACTGGGGTACGGTGACACTCCTGACGACGTAATATATATATATAATTTATTTATCTGTACTATCTGCACCTCATACGTCATTGATTACTTCCATCCTGTCGAGTGCCCAACCACTCTTAGTAACCACGGTGCATGCATGTTGCCTCCAACTACTGCAAGACTCGAAACAAATGTTCAGGCCAGACGAGCAATTCTCTATGCGCTTCCTGATACATATCTCCTAACGTTAATAAACGATGAAAGAATCATAAGGATGGCGTGATTGATGTGGCTTTAGTTTCACCTGCACTTAGTTCACACTGTGATTGGTATATACTAGGCAATTATGGGAGTGACAATTATCCCTGTGTTATTCTATTTAAAAAAAGGATGTCAGCACACATCGTAGGATAAATTTAAGCCCTTTTAAATACACACCGGAAAGTGATGATGTCATAAGCAAGCTTAGGACAATCAAAAGTCGACACCGTGTTGGCCGAAAGAAAGAGATGCAACAACTACTGTAAAGATCTTGCAGAAAGCAATGAAATCCACCGACTTTACTCCAGACCGGCTGCGGGAATACAAACAGACCATGCAGATCACATTAGCAGCCTTTAGAGCGGTTGCCCAGAAAACCAAAGACACAAACTGTGAAATCTGTTGCCATGAAGTATGCAAGAAAAAAAGTCTCTTGCAAAAGTGTGGTCTATACACCAGGCTTTGACATGTGCTCCCAGAAGCCGAGGCATTAGAGACTTCCATAATGAAGAACAAACATGGAACAGGCCCTACGTAGACAAAGAAAGCGCTCTTTCACAGATACTGAAGCAAACCTGCACGCGGGACACTGCCACCCGTCAGACTACCATGGACATGCTAGCTGCAACATGTGATGGTACAAAGATAATAAGCTATTTACAGACGCTGAAATTAAGAAAATCATCAAAACATCAAGTCTGCTCCTGGCGCTGGTGGCATTGGCTGTGATGAATCTGCCAAGCTGCCCACAACATCCGTGGATGTCCTATGTAAAGCCTACAATGGCATCATCTGCAATGGCAC